AACACACATGGTAATGTATCCACTGCTAATAAAACATCCATGTTACTGTATCTACTGCTAATAAAACACACATGGTAATGTATCCACTGCTAATAAAACATCCATGTTACTGTATCTACTGCTAATAAAACACACATGGTAATGTATCCACTGCTAATAAAACACCCATGTTACTGTATCTACTGCTAATAAAACACCCATGTTACTGTATCCACTGCTAATAAAACACCCATGTTACTGTATCTACTGCTAATGAAACACCCATGTTACTGTATCTACTGCTAATAAAACACTTATGTTACTGTATCTACTGCTAATAAAACACCCATGTTACTGTATCTACTGCTAATAAAACACCCATGTTACTGTATCTACTGCTAATAAAACACACATTGTAATGTATCCACTGCTAATAAAACACCCATGTTACTGTATCTACTGCTAATAAAACACCCATGTTACTGTATCTACTGCTAATAAAACACACATGGTAATGTATCCACTGCTAATAAAACACCAATGTTACTGTATCTACTGCTAATAAAACACACATGGTAATGTATCCACTGCTAATGAAACACCCATGTTACTGTATCTAATGCTAATAAAACACCCATGTTACTGCATCCACTGCTAATGAAACACCCATGTTACTGTATCTACTGCTAATGAAACACCCATGTTACTGTATCTACTGCTAATAAAACACCCATGTTACTGTATCTACTGCTAATAAAACACCCATGTTACTGTATCTACTGCTAATAAAACACCCATGTTACTGCATCCACTGCTAATGAAACACACATGGTAATGTATCCACTGCTAATAAAACACCCATGTTACTGTATCTACTGCTAATAAAACACCCATGTTACTGTATCTACTGCTAATAAAACACACATGGTAATGTATCCACTGCTAATAAAACACCAATGTTACTGTATCTACTGCTAATAAAACACACATGGTAATGTATCCACTGCTAATGAAACACCCATGTTACTGTATCTAATGCTAATAAAACACCCATGTTACTGCATCCACTGCTAATGAAACACCCATGTTACTGTATCTACTGCTAATGAAACACCCATGTTACTGTATCTGCTGCTAAAAAAACACCCATGTTACTGCATCCACTGCTAATGAAACACACATGGTAATGTATCCACTGCTAATAAAACATCCATGTTACTGTATCTACTGCTAATAAAACACACATGGTAATGTATCCACTGCTAATAAAACATCCATGTTACTGTATCTACTGCTAATAAAACACACATGGTAATGTATCCACTGCTAATAAAACACCCATGTTACTGTATATACTGCTAATAAAACACCCATGTTACTGCATCCACTGCTAATGAAACACACATGGTAATGTATCCACTGCTAATAAAACATCCATGTTACTGTATCTACTGCTAATAAAACACACATGGTAATGTATCCACTGCTAATAAAACATCCATGTTACTGTATCTACTGCTAATAAAACACACATGGTAATGTATCCACTGCTAATAAAACACCCATGTTACTGTATCTACTGCTAATAAAACACCCATGTTACTGTATCCACTGCTAATAAAACACCCATGTTACTGTATCTACTGCTAATGAAACACCCATGTTACTGTATCTACTGCTAATAAAACACTTATGTTACTGTATCTACTGCTAATAAAACACCCATGTTACTGTATCTACTGCTAATAAAACACCCATGTTACTGTATCTACTGCTAATAAAACACACATGGTAATGTATCCACTGCTAATAAAACACCCATGTTACTGTATCTACTGCTAATAAAACACCCATGTTACTGTATCTACTGCTAATAAAACACACATGGTAATGTATCCACTGCTAATAAAACACCAATGTTACTGTATCTACTGCTAATAAAACACACATGGTAATGTATCCACTGCTAATGAAACACCCATGTTACTGTATCTAATGCTAATAAAACACCCATGTTACTGCATCCACTGCTAATGAAACACCCATGTTACTGTATCTACTGCTAATGAAACACCCATGTTACTGTATCTACTGCTAATAAAACACCCATGTTACTGTATCTACTGCTAATGAAACACCCATGTTACTGTATCTACTGCTAATAAAACACCCATGTTACTGTATCTACTGCTAATAAAACACCCATGTTACTGTATCTACTGCTAATAAAACACCCATGTTACTGCATCCACTGCTAATGAAACACACATGGTAATGTATCCACTGCTAATAAAACACCCATGTTACTGTATCTACTGCTAATAAAACACCCATGTTACTGCATCCACTGCTAATGAAACATACATGGTAATGTATCCACTGCTAATAAAACATCCATGTTACTGTATCTACTGCTAATAAAACACACATGGTAATGTATCCACTGCTAATAAAACATCCATGTTACTGTATCTACTGCTAATAAAACACACATGGTAATGTATCCACTGCTAATAAAACACCCATGTTACTGCATCCACTGCTAATGAAACACCCATGTTACTGTATCTACTGCTAATAAAACACCCATGTTACTGCATCAACTGCTAATGAAACACCCATGTTACTGTATCTACTGCTAATAAAACACACATGTTACTGTATCCACTGCTGGTGAAACACCCATGTTACTTATCCACCGCTGGTAAAGCACCTACGCTACTGTATCCACTGCTGATGAAACATCCATGTTACTGTATCCACTCCTGGTGAAACACAAATGTTACTGTGACTACTTATGGTGAAACACCAATGTTACTGTAACCACTGCTGGTGAAACACCCATGGTACTGTATCCACTGCTGGTGAAACACCCATGTTACTGTATCCACTGCTAGTAAAGGAACAATGTTACTGTATCCACTGCTGGTTAAAAAAAAAACACCATTTTTTGCTGTATCAACTTTTCGTTAAAACATCATTATTTTGTATCCATTTCAGGGTGGTGGAGAACATGATGAAAGAGAACATGGTGATAGAGAACATGGCGATAGAGAACATGGTTGTTGAGAACCTACTTGTGGAGAACATGGTGATAGAGAACACGGTTGTGAAGAATATGGTAATAAAGAACATGGTGATGAAGAACATAGTTGTAGAGAACATGGTGACAGAGAACAAGGTTGTGGAGAACCTAGTTGTGGAGAACATGGTGATAGAGAACATGTGACAGAGAACAAGGTTGTGGAGAACCTAGTTGTGGAGAACATGGTGACAGAGAACAAGGTTGTGGAGAACCTAGTTGTAGAGAACATGGTGACAGAGAACAAGGTTGTGGAGAACCTAGTTGTAGAGAACATGGTGACAGAGAACAAGGTTGTGGAGAACCTAGTTGTAGAGAACATGGTGACAGAGAACAAGGTTGTGGAGAACCTAGTTGTAGAGAACATGGTGACAGAGAACAAGGTTGTGGAGAACCTAGTTGTGGAGAACATGGTGATAGAGAACATGGTTGTAGAGAACATGGTTGTAGAGAACATGGTTGTAGAGAACATGGTGATAGAGAACATGGTTGTAGAGAACATGGTGATAGAGAACATGGTTGTAGAGAACATGGTTGTAGAGAAATGATTGTAGAGAACATGATTGTAGAGAATATGGTTGTAGAGAAATGGTTGTGTAGAACATGGTTATAGAGAACATGGTTGTAGAGAACATGGTTGTAGAGAACATGGTTGTGGAGAACATGGTTGTAGAGAACATGGTTGTAGAGAACATGGTTGTAGAGAAATGGTTGTAGAGAACATGGTTGTGGAGAACATGGTTGTGGAGAACATGGTTGTAGAGAACATGGTTGTGGAGAACATGGTTGTGGAGAACTTGGTTGTGGAGAACATGGTTGTAGAGAACATGGTTGTAGAGAACATGGTTGTAGAGAACATCGTTGTAGAGAACATGGTTGTAGAGAACATGGTTGTAGAGAACATGGTTGTAGAGAACATGGTTGTAGAGAACATGGTTGTAGAGAACATGGTTGTAGAGAACATGGTTGTAGAGAACATGGTTGTGGAGAACATGGTTGTGGAGAACATGGTTGGGGAGAACATTGTTGAATGCAACAGGGTGAGCGTGAGGATGAAACCCCACATGGCTATTGATGTCTCTATTGTGCAGATTGGGATTCTGTTTGTGCCCGAGACAGAGGTAATCATCCCATGACTTTCCTGACGACTACAACGATTTTCTTCGCCCGTCGCTCCTCATCATTGCCTTTCAGCTTGGCTAAACATTACTGACACCATTTTCATTATGTATCTCTCTCACACTTTCTCTCATTCTTTATTTGTCTCTTACATTCTCTCTCATTCTCTCTCTCTCTGTCTCTGTCTCTCTCTCTCTCTCTGTCTCTTTGTCTCTGTCTATCTATCTGTCTATCTATCTATCTATCTATCTATCTATCTATCTATCTATCTATCTATCTATCTATCTATCTATCTATCTATCTATCTATCTATCTATCTATCTATCTATCTATCTATCTATCTATCTATCTATCTATCTATCTATCTATCTATCTATCTATCTATCTATCTATCTATCTATCTATCTATCTATCTATCTATCTATCTATCTATCTATCTATCTATCTATCTATCTATCTATCTATCTATCTATCTATCTATCTATCTATCTATCTATCTATCTATCTATCTATCTATCTATCTATCTATCTATCTATCTATCTATCTATCTATCTATCTATCTATCTATCTATCTATCTATCTATCTATCTATCTATCTATCTATCTATCTATCTATCTATCTATCTATCTATCTATCTATCTATCTATCTATCTATCTATCTATCTATCTATCTATCTATCTATCTATCTATCTATCTACCTATCTATCTGTCTGTCTATCTATCTATCTATCTGTCTGTCTGTCTCTCTCTCTCTCTCTTCCCTCGATGAGATTACGGTTGTATTTAACGATAGTTCCTGTTCACCTTCTCTGTAGCGATGGCGTGTGGTTGTCACCAGCCTACTTCTGTGAGTCGCCAGGGACTTAGATCTCTCTGGTACTTGCCTTCCGGATGTGTCATCACCGTATCCAAGAGATCTTCTCAGCATCTGCCCGTGTGGTCTGTCAGAGACATCCCTGCGCAGACCTGTGTTAAACCTCCTGCCTCATACGCCGCTGTTCCTGCACAACAAAGTCTGCCTGAAGATCCCCAACAGCTTCACCTGCCGTTTCACGCTAGGCAACCGATTCTCCCTCAGACAATACCTTTTGCTGAATGTTTGAACTTACCTGCTCAGTCTCACACCCAAGCTCAAGCGTGGCCGCCTACCGTGCCTTCAGCCCAACAACCTGCAGTAACTGTGATCTTCCCTGCCCAGTCTCAGGTTCAACATCCAGCATGCCTGCTGACTATGTCTTTGGCTAAACAAGTTGAAGAGTTTTTGGGAGAACCTAACTTTGGGATTTTCGACGGGTCTGCTAAAAACTTGCAACCAGAGCTTCAACAAGAACACATGCCAGGTCAACAGTTGAGCACCGGCACCACATTGGCACAGTTCTGTGACCCGTGCTGGCCACAACAAGACGCGGCAACGGTAAGAGTGTGTCCGTCTCGATCTGACCATATCTCTCGTCTCCTCCAATCATCAGTCGATCAGCAGGTCCATTACAGAACGACCTGGTCGCCCCGACAGGCATCAAAGAGTCTCTGTCTCTAGCCAGCTCCAGCCCTGTGTACTTTCATAGCCAATGAATCTTCAGTGTCCTGTATCCAACTTGGAGGAGGTCGAGATCTGCGATGTTTTCAGGAAACTAAACACTCCATCACCGCTCTCTCCAGCACCTTCCACAAGTTGCCAATGCTGGCTTTAAAGACTTCCACAAGTTGCGCGGGAAACATGCATGATCTCTAGATTTCGACTATAACTCACATGCATGTGTATGCCATGCGTTCTTTCTGCTGCTTAGCCTCTCTTTAGCCTCTCGTTTACTAAAGAAAGGTAATTTTCTGACTTCTTTTCTGAGTCATCGTTGTTATTCATTACGGTTAGTTGCGTATCCTTTACAGGACGTTGCAAAACCAACCCCAGCATTGTTTAACTGTTGTGGTTTTGTGGCACAGTCGTGCCTATACATCCCCCAAGAAATAGATGTGCCTAGTTCGGCCAAGTTGAATGAATATAGTTCGTATCTCTCTTCAATCGTACTCAAGAACAAGGCCAGTGATGTAATCAATTACATAAGAGCTGGTTTATTCATAATATTCTCGTCACACACATTTCATAAATTCAATAAGCAATAGTATATGAACACTCCTTATTACTGGCTATTTGTATGCCTCTACGAGTTCCTTTACCACTGTTCTGGCTAAACTCCAAGTTTAACATATACCTTCTAAACGAAGTAAAGCACTAGTTTTCTCCTAACCGGTCTTTCCAGCGGTTCAGCCCTAACCTGTCCTATCAAGCGGTTCCGTGGCTAACTCTCTGTTCTAGTTAAACTCCAAGTTTAACATATCCTTCTAAACGAAGTAAAGCACTAGTTTTCTCCTAACCGGTTTCTCTCGCTGTCCAGCCCTAACTGTCTTCTCAAGCGGTTTCGGGGCTAACTCTCTGTTCTAGTTAAACTCCAAGTTTAACATATCCTTCTAAACGAAGTACAGCACTGGTGTTCTCAACTGGTCTCTCAAGCTGTCCGGTCCTAATTAACTTCTCAAGCGGTTCCGGAGCTAACTTTATTCTCCCACTTTCCCGCTCTTTCTGGCGTACCTTCTTAATCACCCCCCTGTCACCTGTCTTTGGTGGTCACGTTTGGATCAACGTATCTCTTCAGCTGGTCACAGCTCACGGGCACTCGTCGAATGTTTCATCCCTCACTGTCAGATGTCATGGCGGTTATCATGAAGATGTTCTGCATAGTTGGCTAGGCCATGGCTTTCTAATCACCCATTTCTGTCATTTCACACAGTGATGGATTAGTACGCCGTGTGGTGGTCTGAAATGTATGCTTTGTTCATTTAACCCCTTTCTGCCTATACTTCATTACAGTTTTTTTAGGCAACTTTTACATTTAGCAGTTTCTTGTGTAGTGTCTTCTGTTTTTTTTTTTAACTCTCGTGGTTTTTTTAGGCAACTTTTACATTTAGCAGTTTCTTTTGTTGCTTCTTCTGCATTTTTTAACTGTTGTAGTGTTTCTAGGCAACTTTTACATTTAGCAGTGTTACTTCTGCAGTGACAGATATCACATCGTTTGGTAGGACTAAACACAGGAGCATTCAGCCCATTTTCTTTCAAGGACACGTAGGATGTGAGGGTGTTTGTGTGGGTGTTTTTGTGTGGGTATTTATGTGTGGATGTTTGTGTGTGGGTGTTTGTGTGTGTGTGTGTGCGCGCGCGTGAGTGTGTTTGTATGCGTGTATGTGGTGAAGATCAAGCAACATGGTGGCAGCGCCTACATCTTGTCCCTCTAGAGACTTATGATCTTTGATGTCGCTAAAGTATTTCAGTATCCTCAAGTATTAAATATCAACAAACTTTGAGCGAAAACCCGACGAGAGCATTTAAACGTTTAAGATCTACATCCGTGTTTGTTTCGACTGCTACGCTGATAAAGACTTCGGTCAAAACGTACGAATGTTTTTGCACAAGCCTTTTCCATTTCTTCCATGGAGTCTCTAGTCACACTTTGTGTTGTCATTAGTGTTTCTCAACATCATTTCGAATCCTATCATTCATATTTACTCCACGTTTAATTTGCCAACACATTTTCTTTATTATTCACTCTTTAAAGCGCCTCCATATTTCTACCAATCTGTCTGCCTGCTCGTTATCTCGCACACCTGAATATCCTGGACAGAAAACCCATGATATGGTCCAGAGACTTATCAAGAAAGACACAAGACACTCTGCGGGCATAATGACAGTTTAAATGGTCCCAGTCACGCTATTTCAGCCTGGTACAATTACAACACTATACTGCTCTCCAGACATCCTGAAGCCGCCTCCGCCTCCATTCTCATGCCGGCTGAAGTGACTTTGTACGCATGGTTGTCTGTATTCAAATATACAAATTATGTCATGCTTTCTGTGGGTATTGTAATAAATGTATGCAATGTTTCAGCTGACAGAGATGGATTTCCTTATCTGATGTGTATGACATGGCCCCGGCGTTAAAACGATCTGCTTCCAAGTGAACGTTCGACTGTTTGCCGTAGTCGCTGACAAGTATTGCCAAAGATTTATGTTGAGGTCGACACCAGATTGGAGCAACTCTCTCTCTCTCTCTCTCTCTGACTCTCTCTCTCTCTCTGACTCTCTCTCTCTCTCTCTCTCTCTTAAAGTGGTGGCATATATCCATCTTCGGTCGCTCTCTAGTGGCAGCAAAAAGCACTGTTAAATAAAATGGATCCTTTCTTGTTATTTCTGCCTATTTAGAAGTTACTTTAAACCATTACAACTTGTATAACTGTTCCGTTTTTTCTTGTATTCTTCAATGTTTTTAAGTGTGTGTGTGTGTCTGTGTGTCTGTGTGTGTGTTTGCTGTGTGAGCATGCGTGCGAGAGATGTGTATGGGTGTGTGTATGTGTGCTTGTTTGTATGCGTTATTTTTGGTAATGAAAGCGATTTAAACGCTAGCAATTTGGTACTATTGCACAGTGTGACAATCTGTCTGCTCTTTTATTGCCAACAACACCAGCATCATTTGAGACAAAGGAGAAGGTAACTCCGTAGACAGTGGATCTTTGCAGGGACCCAGTCTACTGTGCGCGCACCGCCTGCCTCTAACAACCGGATCATCCACATACAATTGCTCAGGACACTCACGGGGAATATTCTTATGATTGCAACTGCATGAAAACTGGTGACACAACCATCACCTGTGTCGACATGCTGGGGAGACAACCATCACCTGTGTCGGCATGCTGGGGAGACACAAACATTACCTGTGTCGGCATGCTGGGGAGACACAACCATTACCTGTGTCGGCATGCTGGGGAGACACAACCATTACCTGTGTCGGCATGCTGGGGAGACAGCCATCACCTGTGTCGGCATGCTGGGGACACACAACCATTACCTGTGTCGGCATGCTGGGGAGACACAACCATTACCTGTGTCGGCATGCTGGGGAGACACAACCATCACCTGTGTCGGCATGCTGGGGAGACAACCATCACCTGTGTCGGCATGCTGGGGAGACAACCATCACCTGTGTCGGCATGCTGGGGAGACAACCATCACCTGTGTCGACATGCTGGGGAGACAACCATCACCTGTGCCGGCATGCTGGGGAGACAACCATTACCTGTGTCGGCATGCTGGGGAGACAACCATTACCTGTGTCGGCATGCTGGGGAGACAACCATTACCTGTGTCGGCATGCTGGGGAGACAACCATTACCTGTGTCGGCATGCTGGGGAGACAACCATAACCTGTGTCGGCATGCTGGGGAGACAACCATTACCTGTGTCGGCATGCTGGGGAGACAACCATCACCTGTGTCGGCATGCTGGGGAGACACAACCATCACCTGTGTCGGCATGCTGGGGAGACAACCATTACCTGTGTCGGCATGCTGGGGAGACAACCATCACCTGTGTCGGCATGCTGGGGAGACAACCATCACCTGTGTCGGCATGCTGGGGAGACAACCATTACCTGTGTCGGCATGCTGGGGAGACACAACCATCACCTGTGTCGGCATGCTGGGGAGACAACCATCACCTGTGTCGGCATGCTGGGGAGACAACCATCACCTGTGTCGGCATGCTGGGGAGACAACCATCACCTGTGTCGGCATGCTGGGGAGACAACCATCACCTGTGTCGGCATGCTGGGGAGACAGCCATCACCTGTGTCTGCATGCTGGGGAGACAACCACCACCTGTGTCGGCATGCTGCTCGTAGTTACAGAGAAGGCGTCGTTAGCTTCCTGGACTGGTATGCATGCAGATCATGCTGTGGGTTGGCATGTATCTTTGTGAGCTTCCAGATGAGTACAACTGCTTCATCTGAACTATCACTGAAAGCCAATACAACTTTGTATTGACAGCAACAGCATTCAGCTTCCAGATGAGTACAACTGCTACATCTGAACTATCACTGAAAGCCAGTGCAACTTTGTATTGACAGCAACAGCATTCAGCTTCCGGCGACCCCTATCCAGAGATTAGGTGACATTTAGACTTGGAAGGACAGGTTTCACTCCTCGCTGGGGTGTATGTGTGAAAGACTACTCACCTGGCTGATATTGTTCTCTGCCTTAGCCAGGCATGATTTGTCCCTGTCTATGGACACGCCCAGCCTCACTTCATGGCTGTTGCGCCAAGACTGAGAGAACAACAACATCAACACTTGGCGCCGCTTCTCTTAACCCAAAGCTTCACTCATGCAGCTACATACCCTGAAGTAGTTTCGTCCATACGCCCCTATGTCCACAATGGGCTTGTGTGTGTTTGTTTATATACATATATACAATTCCAGGTTATCTCCCTTATACCCGTTTGTCTGTTTGGTCAAGCACTACAGTCTTGACCCTTGCCTGGCCCTTTTGATGATGGGACACGTTCTAAGTGACCCCCCCCCCCCCCTTTTTTTTTTTTTGGCATCCTATAATTAGGAGTATTTTCAGGGCTAGATCCACGTCTCACGATGGAACAGCTAGCATGCGCCACTGTTTGAGAGATCCGACATCTTTCGCTCTGGATCGACTTCAGCTGATTTCCGTTCATATTTGGTTCCCATATTTTTGCTAGAGCATGAGATAAACATCCGCCACACACAAAAAATGTATTAATTACGCAGCATAAAAAAAAAAGACAAAAATATTACTGAGGCATCAAGCGGTTAGAACACACAACACCCTCGTATGTTTGAATAGGTCCCTGGTGTGGTCAGCGAAGAAAGCTGTTTCAATACTTGAAATATTGGTCATCAAAATATGGGTCAAACACATGCATCCATACAGGAAGCGGAAGTTTTGCACCACGTGATGGTAGAATGATATATGACAAGCCAGATATTGTAAGTGTCCTTTGGAAGCCAGTGGACCGTGCTAAGGCACAGAGGAATCATTACGATCTCATCAGGCTGGTGAACCGAACAGTGACCAGTGGTTTTAGCTCACTCTCAACACTTAAGGAAAGGCGAGACGGATTTGCAATAAGACTGTTACTGGTACTATCAGAACTGGAACGCTGTGCGTGCTGCCGAAGATGGGAACGAAGCGCGTACGGGAACTCCCCGAGTGCAGAGATTCAACATCCAGCAACACTACTATCAGACAGACGGGACTATTTAGCACCGTTGTTGAACCCACACATCGCCATCATGACGTCAGCAATGTGTGTGCTCTCTTGTTGTCCTTGAACACACACTGAGGCCAGACAACGGCCCTACCCCGCAGGAAGTTACAAACTCTTAATCTCTTTAAACAAAACACCTCCAGTAGCTTAGGAGCGGCCACCACATGAGCTCTGGGCACCACCTCTGAACTAGCAACACTCTTTCAGCACTGGAGTGGCCTGATTCCTGAACTCACCGAAGCAATGTCAACCGCAAAACCAAAAAAGAAAATCCGAGCCAAATACGACCCGTACGTCAACTCCAAAGACGTTCTGGCCCTAGATCACCACATCTTTCAGGACTTCCTCAACGACAGGGAAGTAGCGTTGGTCATGTTCTATGACCCGGAAGAGCCAGAGTGCGATTGGTCTAAGAAACACTTTATACGGGTAAGAACGTGGAGCTCAGTGTTATAATTAATGTCTTTTTACTTCCACCACTGTTAGTCTGTCATGCTTTAGTTTATGGTTTTGTTTCTACTGCCACCCATGCAGGACTGCAGACACAAAGAAACAATGGCCGGGGCATATAGTCTCAGAGAGGGTACACTGGAGAGCCTCAAGCTTTGTTGACGTGCTTCACAATAATTGCAGTTAATAATAACAATATAATGTGCTGCATAACAAATCAATATAAAACATGTAGCGTTCATTTAAACCCTGAATGTGCGGTACAGCGCCTAGCAGCGCGCACCAAAAATGATAATGTCATAATCGTCTCATAAGTGCTGACTGAGGAACAAAAGAGTACGCGTTCGTCTTCACATATTGCATAAGGTTCTGTTTCTGACGTAATCGTCTTCTTATGTTGCATACGTTTCTGTTTCTGACGTAATCTTCTTCTCATGTTGCATAAGGTTCTGTTTCTGACATTTGAGCACATTAGGCTGTTGATTCAAATCCGTCCCAAACTGATACAGCAGCACTATCGAATGCCTTCCTCTTGTTGCTGACTCGTCGACATACGTGCTAGCCTGGGCGAACATATTTGGATCTTTGTTTCGTATAAATATCCTGTTTTCATTTAATTTTATTTTTTCCCCTCAGTTGGCAGATCCAATTGTTTTGTTAGCCGTCGTTTGCTTCTTAACAGTTAACATGTATTAAACTCATGAACATTATTGTGTCACAGTTTTTTACGACACACATTTGTTGACCAGTCTGTCACTGTTGTCTACGACACACATTTGTTGACCAGACTGTCACTGTTGTCTACGACACACATTTGTTGACCAGTCTGTTATTGTTGTCTACGATACACATTTGTTGACAAGTCTGTTATTGTTGTCTACGACACACATTCGTTGACCAGTCTGGCATTGTTGTTTACGACACACATTCGTTGACCAGTCTGTCACGGTTGTCTTTAACACACATTTGTTGACCAGTCTGTCACTGTTGTCTACGACACACATTTGTTGACCAGTCTGTCACTGGTGTCTACGACACACATTTGTTGACCAGTCTGTCACTGTTGTCTACGACACACATATGTTGACCAGTCTGTCACTGTTGTCTACGACACATACTTGTTGACCAGTCTGTCACGGTTATCTTTGACACACATTTGTTGACCAGTCTGTCACTGTTGTCTACGACACACATTCGTTGACCAGTCTGTCACTGTTGTCTACGACACACATTCGTTGACCAGTCTGTCACTGTTGTCTACGACACACATTTGTTGACCAGTTTGTCACTGTTGTCTACAACATACATTTGTTGACCAGTCTGTCACTGTTGTCTACGACACACATTCGTTGACCAGTTTGTTACTGTTGTCTTGGACAAACATTTGTTGACCAGTCTGTCAGTGTTGTCTACACTGCCTGCATTCTTCGATGTATGTTTCCTGGTCGTTTGTTTTTGATTGGAAAGATTGAATCACGGTTCACTGAGCTTGTTTGAGCGAATCAATCGGCCATTGTCTCTATTCCTTGACCTATTGCTGTCAGCAATGATGATCGAGCGTGTGTGTCTGTGTCTGATCAGATGAAGCTGACTAAGTTGACATCAGCATACGATGGAGCAGACATTTGACTGACAGTGTATGTACTGACAGCATGTTTCTGTCCATGACTGACAGTGTATGTATGGACACCATGTTTCTGTCCATGACTGACAGTGTATGTACTGACACCATGTTTCTGTCCATGACTGACAGTGTATGTACTGACAGCTTGTTTCTGTCCATGACTGACAGTGTATGTACTGACAGCTTGTTTCTGTCCATGACTGACAGTGTATGTATGGACACCATGTTTCTGTCCATGACTGACAGTGTATGTACTGTTTTTCTGTCCATGACTGACAGTGTATGTACTGACAGCTTGTTTCTGTCCATGACTGACAGTGTATGTACTGACAGCTTGTTTCTGTCCATGACTGACAGTGTATGTACCGACATCATGTTTCTGTCCATGACTGACAGTGTGTGTACCGACATCATGTTTCTGTCCATGACTGACAGTGTGTGTACCGACAGCATGTTTCTGTCCATGACTGACAGTGTGTGTACCGACATCATGTTTCTGTCCATGACTGACAGTGTGTGTACCGACAGCATGTTTCTGTCCATGACTGACAGTGTGTGTACCGACATCATGTTTCTGTCCATGACTGACAGTGTGTGTACCGACAGCATGTTTCTGTCCATGACTGACAGTGTATGTACCGACAGCATGTTTCTGTCCATGACTGACAGTGTGTGTACTGACACCATGTTTCTGTAATTGACTGACAGTGTATGTACTGACCGCCCCTGATGGTTTGTTGCAGGCAGCGAAGACGACAGAAAGAGAAAACCACGCTTTTGCAGCTGTCAACTGTGTCAAAGAACAAGCTATTTGTGCCGATGAAGGTTCCACAGGTGTCTACCCGTTCTTCAAGCTGTACTCACGAGGAAACCTCATCGATACGTACAGAGACCATCGCAGCTTTATCCACTTCACCATGCGCAAGTTTGTAGAGAACGCGCCGATTATCCCCGATCGTGAACCGCCACTGAACCCCTGCACCCAGAAACCGTATGAAGAACCTTGACCTGCGTGTCTGTGGCGTGACCGAGTTTAACATTCGAAGTACCTATTTCTCCCCTACAGACTCCTGGGATCATTTATTCGAAATCTGGACATCAACGACAGCCAGAAGCAGATCTACACGTGCCTGTGTTCCTTCCTTGCATGGAGATGCGACTGTGGTTGTGGAGTTTGTGTGCGACAGCTAGTAAAAGTAAAGTATGGTGAGAGTGATGATGATGATGATGATATTCACTACTGTTATGTGATGTCTTGTGACAATACACTGCTGAACTTCACCGAGTTTGCGCCGAGTTTTCTGAATCATCATGTTTACTTGTGTGAGGAAGTTATCCTTTCATTGGCAGCCCGGGAATCAGGGATGTTGTACTGAAGGAAATAATACACAAGCGCTTTATTCAACCAGACCAACAATCGCTTAGAATGCTAGCCATATTTTTGTCAGTCACACAGGGCTGCGTTAGTTATCACGATCTTTTATTTTTTTTTTCTACCAGATTCTAAAGAGATAACTACTGCCATGAGTAGTCAACATCATCATCATCAATTTCCACTGTTGCCGTTAAGCGTTGTGGGGAGGAATAGTTTGCTATCCATTGCCTGGTGGGTAGCATTGGCTATTGTCATTCCGTATTGATGAAAAAGCTCTTTAATGTCATCAGTCAATCTTCTCCTAGGATGGCCTCTTGATTTCACTTTAGATCATTTCTTGTGTAGCGTCTGTTTTGGTATTTGTTCTGACCGCATTCCTACTTTAAATTTGCTGCAATGATGTAGCTCCAACAGTCTGACTTTTATTATCGTTTCTAACTTTGTCTCGGTTGGTTAAGTCGTCGGCTTTTCTCCGGCATCTCATTTCGCAGGTGTTGTTAGGAATATGCTGTTTATAATCTGTTTCTTGGCTCACATAAGCATGTTTTGGTGCCTTAATAACGGCGTCAGTTGATATATAATTACACTAGCTCGTTGACATTTTGTTTCTTTTTCCCGATGTATTCGTGCTCCGAAAATATACTTCCTAAATATGTAAACTCTTTAACTTGCTTCAGACAAGAACCATTCAACCCTATGTGTAGCGACCTAGGAATTCTGCTGACCAGCTTCACATGTGTTTCTGTAGTATTTCCTTTTATTTTATATCTTCTGCATGTTCACCTTAGTCTGTTTCAATGTTGTTGCAGTCGACTCCCCTCATTGTAGAACAGGCACTGATCGTCTGCATGGCGTAGCTCGTTTATTGTGTGTGGATCCAATTCTAACTCTAGGAATTGAAGTTCATCATCTTCTGGATTTTCCGGGTCGATTAACTAAATGCCGCTTGATATTCTGTCTCTGTAGTAAATAAGAGACGGGAGAGCACACATTCCAGCCTCAACGCTGTATTGACTGTAAACATTCAGACATGACTTCATGTGTTCTCACAGCTCTGTAGGAAGTGTTGTACATGGCCACGATGTTATCTGCTATCTGGGGTAGTTGCTGGTATTCAGGGTTTCCGATGCCCAATCCATCCATCGCTTGCGAGACCCAACTCTTGACTTCTTCTTATCTGTCAGAGTATTACTGCTTTTCGTCCTTCTTAACGTTATTTGACGTTATTTGACGTTATTTTTTGTTATTTGAAGCCCCACTCTGGCTTTTGCCAGGGGCCGCAATATAGGCAGGTCATCATTATGGCCAAATGTCTGAACGCGGTTTCTGGGACCTCTCCACGGTGATCCTCATCCGCATGGTGGCACTTTGTGTCATCGGGTGTTTATCGCTTGTGTGATGTCCTGGTGGGGTAAAAAATCCAATCCAATCCAATCCTATCTGTCAGAGTTCTAGCTCTGTTATTTGTGTGTCGGTTAACCCTACTATTTATTTTTATCGAAAATCCATCTGATCTACTACTTCACAGGGACTCTTGCATGGCTGGCCACACAAAAATCTACTCACGTTCTGATAGCGACAGACTCACTGGACACGCTTAAGTAGATTTAAACTGCAAAATAAAGAGTAGAAAGGGTTGACAGTGTCTTGTCCGTCTCAAGAAACTAGCTTGGCTTCAACACGAGGACAAGGCGGCAGGGAAACGACAATCTGACAGTGTCTGCAGTAGTTAGTGGAGACCGGTAACTTACACACAAGGACAAGGCGGCAGGGAACCGACAATCTGACAGTGTCTGCAGTAGTTAGTAGAGGCCGGTAACTTACACACAAGGACAAGGCGGCAGGGAACCGACAATCTGACAGTGTCTGCAGTAGTTAGAGGAGACTGGTAACTTACACACAAGGACAAGGCGGCAGGGAACCGACAATCTGATGATGTCTGCAGTAGTTAGTGGAGACCGGTAACTTACACACAAGGACAAGGCGGCAGGGAACCGACAATCTGATGATGTCTGCAGTAGTTAGAGGAGACCGGTAACTTACACACAAGGACAAGGCGGCAGGGAACCGACAATCTGACAGTGTCTGCAGTAGTTAGTGGAGACCGGTAACTTACACACAAGGACAAGGTGGCAGGGAACCGACAATCTGACAGTGTCTGCAGTAGTTAGTGGAGACCGGTAACTTACACACAAGGACAAGACGGCAGGGAACCGACAATCTGATGATGTCTGCAGTAGTTAGAGGAGACCGGTAACTTACACACAAGGACAAGGCGGCAGGGAACCGACAATCTGACAGTGTCTGCAGTAGTTAGTAGAGACCAGTAACTTACACACAAGGACAAGGCGGCAGGGAACCGACAGTCTGGTGATGTCTGCAGTAGTTGGAGGAGACCGGTAACTTACACACAAGGACAAGGCGGCAGGGAACCGACAATCTGGTGATGTCTGCAGTAGTTAGTGGAGACCGGTAACTTACACACAAGGACAAGGCGGCAGGGAACCGACAATCTGATCATGTCTGCAGTAGTTAGAGGAGACCGGTAACTTACACACAAGGACAAGGCGGCAGGGAACCGACAATCTGGTGATGTCTGCAGTAGTTAGTAGAGACCGGTAACTTACACACAAGGACAAGGCGGCAGGGAACCGACAGTCTGGTGATGTCTGCAGTAGTTGGAGGAGACCGGTAACTTACACGCAAGGACAAGGCGGCAGGGAACCGACAATCTGGTGATGTCTGCAGTAGTTAGTGGAGACCGGTAACTTACACACAAGGACAAGGCGGCAGGGAACCGACAATCTGGTGATGTCTGCAGTAGTTAGTGGAGACCGGTAACTTACACACAAGGACAAGGCGGCAGGGAACCGACAATCTGGTGATGTCTGCAGTAGTTAGTAGAGACCGGTAACTTACACACGAGGACAAGGCGGCAGGGAACCGACAATCTGGTGATGTCTGCAGTAGTTAGTAGAGACCGGTAACTTACACACAAGGACAAGGCGGCAGGGAACCGACAATCTGACAGTGTCTGCAGTAGTTAGTGGAGACCGGTAACTTACACACGAGGACAAGGCGGCAGGGAACCGACAATCTGACAGTGTCTGCAGTAGTTAGTAGAGACCGGTAACTTACACACAAGGACAAGGCGGCAGGGAACCGACAATCTGGTGATGTCTGCAGTAGTTAGTAGAGACCGGTAACTTACACACGAGGACAAGGCGGCAGGGAACCGACAATCTGACAGTGTCTGCAGTAGTTAGTAGAGACCGGTAACTTACACACAAGGACAAGGCGGCAGGGAACCGACAATCTGATGATGTCTGCAGTAGTTAGAGGAGACCGGTAACTTACACACAAGGACAAGGCGGCAGGGAACCGACAATCTGATGATGTCTGCAGTAGTTAGAGGAGACCGGTAACTTACACACAAGGACAAGGCGGCAGGGAACC